GGCGAACTTTGACATGATGGTGAGCTACGGCATCCGCCTCCGCGCCGAAAACAAGCGGTGCCAAATGGCGATGCTCATCAACCAGGAGAAGGCCAGTTTGTGGAGTAACACGGACATGACCTTTCAGGCGGACATTACCCTCCACATATCGAAGTTTTATCCGGGCGCCGTGGACAAGATATACGTCTGCAACATGAGCCGGACCCTGGCGGCACTGGCAAAGCCCATCTTTTCCAGGCTCCCCTCGATTGTCTCGGATCGCATTATGATCATATCCGACGCTGAGAGGAAGTCCGGCAAGCTGTTGGAGTACTTTGACGAGAGTGTCCTGCCGGTGGCGCTGGGCGGCAGCAACGACTGTGATCATGAGGAGAACCATGCCAGGTTTGCTGTGACCATCAGGGAGCACTTTGAGCAAATGAAATCCGCCCTGCTCCGTGGCCTCTCAGTGAAGGAGTGGGAACTGACGTGCATCAATGCGTGTCGTCTGACCGGTATGCTTGCGACGCCACGGTCGGATTTGCACAGCGTGCTTTCCCTCAGGACATGCTGCTCCGTCGCAAGTGATGGGTACTACAACAACGTGACTAGGGCGGGCACAGCCTGTGAACAATTTATGGCGGTAGGTGAGTGGAAATCTGTCATGCATTGTTTTCCGCGGAGTTTGGCTCTGTTCTTTTCGGAAGAGCTGCAGCGGCGGCGTCTTGAGATTGAATCGGAGGAGACAGAAGCACGCTACAACATCCTGGGCGAGCACATTGCGGTCCGCAGGCTGAAGGATGCGGCGTATTTGGAGATGGACCTCGCGGTGAAAAAATGGTACACGCAAATCCCTGTGCAGCTGCAGTTGCTTTGCCGGTTTTGATTTCTGATCCTGACGGGTTTGAATGGTGTATACTTTTTTGCCGCTCTTATCTTTCTTGCAGTTTTGGTTGGAAATATTCTGGCGACCCTCTTTTTGTTTTTTTTCGTGCAGTGGAATTACATCTTTCCGCTCAGTGCGGCACGTGTCATGTGCGCCATTGAATGCTTCGCCCTGTGCTCACGTGCGGTGAACATTCTTGCAGCCCTCACACCCAGAAAAGTCATTCGGTCACTCGACAACATTGGGACTCATGCGGGCGGTGCCGTGCAGATGTCCTTCTTTATGGCGGTGGTGGCGCTGCAATTTATTATTTTATACGTCTTCGCCGTATGGCGCTCCCCACTGTTCGGCCTCAAGGTCTCGTTTGCTGCCGGGTGGCTGTGCGCTTTCTTTACAGTGGCAACTTGTCACGTGTTTTTTTTTCGACTGGCTGAATCCGCGACAGTGGCTACACCGGGAGGGCGGATTTTGTGTCCCCCATGTTTTCTGCTGTTGAATAAGCCCGAGGTGACGGAGGGGAAGTCGGAGTTGCACACCCTCTGCACCTCCTCGTGCGTCGTCTGTGGCATTCCTGTGTTGCTAAGCTTGCTGTTTGGCATTGGGTTTCTCATCAGCTGCGTCGTTGGCTTTGCGGTCGCGGTTTGCACAGCAGCCATTCTTGCCTCCTTCCTCGTCACGTACCACGCGGATTCCATGCCGAATGCACTCAACGGCAGCCTGCTTCAAGCCGCCATCTGGATTGCCAGCCTGGTGTGGATCTTTGACTGCTACACCTTTAGCTTCCACAGCTACAGCAGCATCTGGTGTGCCCCGGTTGCCATATCGTTATTTGTGGCCGCCTGGTTCCTCGTCTTTTCCTTCGTTTGACGAAGGAAGGACGAGTCTCACATCCTTCTCCGCGTGGCTGTCGGCTCGCTTGTGGTTCTGCTATGTGCCACATGGATCTCCAGCTTCCCTGTAGTTGGGTGGAAGATTGGCGTCTTCTGTCTTTGCCTCCTGCTTCACAACGCGCTTGGGATGCTGTTTAGCAGCTCTGACCTGACGAGCATTGGTGGGGTGTTTGTTGTGTCGGCGGCGGTGCTGGGGCTCATCGTAGCCGGCACGCTACTTGGCTGGTCCGGCGCAAATCCGCTTGTGACGGCCCCCCGAAGTCTTCCACGTGATGCTGCTGCCGCACCTTCAACGTCACTCGCCGAGTACCACCGCTACCTCGTTTGTAGTCTTCGCACGGCCGGCGGGCTCATCATTACCGACTTTTCCCTTCTCACCCAACTTGTCAATGCGTACCCCAGCGACGCCTTTTGGGTTGACTTTAAGAACTGGTTTAACACCACCGGCTTTGCGTACCACGGCATCGCTCTGGAGTTTTCCACTGCGTAGGGGACGTGGGAACTCCACCGCTTCGACTCCAAGGCGCACAACCAGACTCTTCTGGTGCTGAATAACAAAGATGGTTTTTCCTTCATGCTGACGACGACCACCTGGCTGGGATCCATTGCCCTCTCGCCGCTGCGCATCTTCCTCCCCACAGGATGGACGAACTACATTGTCTACGTCATGTCATTCGTGGCCCACATGGTTGATTTCCCCTGGATGCAGTATCGGCACAGGCTCGTGGAATACCTAAAGCACGCGAAGGCTGCGGGGACAAATGAGATGGTACTCACAAGTAGCGGCATCGCGGGTGGAATTGCCTCCATGGCGGGTGCCCACGCACACATCCAAACAATTGTTTTCGGGTCTCCCGGCTTGCAGCATCTGCTTCGACTCACTGGTATCTCGGAGAACGACTACCGCGACTACGTTCTGGCCGTTGGTGCAGCTGGCGGGGCACTGGACAACGTTGGCGGTCAGGACACCATAATGAGCCAGAAGCTGCTTTGTAGAGGAAACGCCATGAGATGTTTGTTGATGGAATACATCTCCGGGGAGCTACTTAGCAGCTGTGACACCTCTGGGCGACGGCATGCCGCCAAATCGGCGGTGTGGGTGCAATACTTGTTGTTTTAACGTGTACGCATTTTTTCTGTTAGTGTTGGTGCCTTCGACCTTAACGTTAATTGAGTTTTTCTTTCTTCTTCTTAGCCATCTCAGTTGCTTAGTGAGAGGAGGCGGCAACGCCAAAACATGGTCGCCATTTCTTCTTGTCTATTTCTTGTGTGTGCGCGGGCAAATTTGTTGGATTGGGCCGCAGGGGCCGCACAGTAATGCCTCCTTCTTTTACCTCTTGTTTCTTGTCAATTGCCATGCCTTTCCGCCCGCTGTTTTCCTCTCCTCCCTTCATTGTGAAGCACTCAAAGTCTCACCAATGCCGCACCCGACGCTGCTGGATATTGGCGTCACCGCCTACACCCACCAAGCGGAGGTGGATGAGCTGCGGCAGCGACTGAACATCACCCATCACTACTTTGATTGCTGGCTTTACGGGTTCCTGGAAAACAAAAAGTTTAATATTGAAGAGACTGTGAGCAAATTAGGCCGGCGGGAGACCTTTGAAAAGGAGCAGATTGCACAACACACCGTGACGAACTGGATGATGGAGAACATGCGGAAAGGCATCATGCAGATCATAGGGAATGACAGGGAGGGCCGCGTGGTATTCTACGTGGTAACCGCCAGGGACAAGCCAGTCTCTGCGAGGCGTGAGGAGAGCAAAGCGAACTTTGACATGATGGTGAGCTACGGCATCCGCCTCCGCGCCGAAAGCAAGCGGTGCCAAATGGCGATGCTCATCAACCAGGAGAAGGCCAGTTTGTGGAGTAACACGGACATGACCTTTCAGGCGGACATTGCCCTCCACATATCGAAGTTTTATCCGGGCGCCGTGGACAAGATATACGTCTGCAACATGAGCCGGACCCTGGCGGCACTGGCAAAGCCCATCTTTTCCAGGCTCCCCTCGATTGTCTCGGATCGCATTATGATCATATCCGACGCTGAGAGGAAGTCCGGCAAGCTGTTGGAGTACTTTGACGAGAGTGTCCTGCCGGTGGCGCTGGGCGGCAGCAACGACTGTGATCATGAGGAGAACCATGCCAGGTTTGCTGTGACCATCAGGGAGCACTTTGAGCAAATGAAATCCGCCCTGCTCCGTGGCCTCTCAGCGAAGG